TAGTTCTAAGATTGGATTTGTTATGATTATGGCGAACCAAACTTTCAATCTCTTGTCTTATTTTTTACTTGAATTTCATGTAATTTTTAGATTTTGTTTGTTGTGTTTAGGATGCATCTAAATTGTAATTTCCAAATTATAAGAGTATTTCCTCTACTTGCACATATTGTATTTCCATTAAAGTGTTAAGATATTGTGTTGCTTAAAAACATGATAATAAGCTTAGGAGTACTTTCTTCACCTCATGGGGTGCTTCCCTACCACAGTGAAAAGTCACAATTGTCCCTAGAATCCAAAGATATATCTATAAGCGCACCCTTTTTTACACACTCATCGGTGCAAATAGGTGAGTCGCACTTATTTTGTCAAAGTTTAGTCCGAAGATGTATTTTCGTATCAACATTAGGGTGAGTCCAGAGATGCATCTCCGTAACAACCCTTAATTTAAAATTCAATGAGTTTTATAAAGATGCATATTCGGAATATGATCTGTTAGGTCAAACCATAAACAACCAAACCAGAGACAATTGCACCGTGTTGGAAAATCAATATAAATTAACATCAAAATACTTAACATTACATAGATAATCATTAACATAAATTTAACATTATATTTCATTACAAACGGTTAGTTCAAGATGTTGCAACATATTTAGAATATCTTAGGTCGATCTTGCAGTCGTCGCATCCACGTTAATCGGACCTTTTGATGAGTAACGGTAAAATGTATTCCACATAACCTTTAAATCTGCATTCGCCTTCAATTCGAGCTTGGTGAATCAAGTATTATCTTCGTTATTAATTGATGGTGAGTGATTCTTGAGATTGACAACTCTTCGATTTTATAGATATTGCATGAGAGTATACAGTTTTGATTTCAGTTCGACAAGAGGTATGTCCTCGAAGACCCTAAATTGAAGTGGGGGGTTTTGCGTCATTGGAATACACGAATGCAAGATGGGGATATGTATTCATTTTGGTGTGTTGTGTTTTTGTAAAAAAACATGGGATGAAAGACTCCCTATTTATATCCTATCATCATGGCATATTTTGAATATACATATTTAAGGAGATACACATCTCTAAAATGGGGTGTGTCATGATATGCATATCCAGAATCACCCCACAGAGCATTGCTCATACATGACCAGTATATGTGCATGACCAAATTTTGAAACATAAAAAATGTCTAAAAATTACCCTCGAATTCTATAACATTAATGTAGAATATATGTTACGTATGTCTCAAATTGTATCGAGATTACATCATTGACAACATTATATACAAAAACGAGTTACATTGATAGATAAAAACTAAAATGAATCAAAATATTTGTCATCATCTAAATCTATATTTATATGTGGTTCCTTCTTTAACCTTTTCTGATTTGATTCTCTTTTAATCTCGTTCAATTTGGCGAACTCTTCCATCCTAACCAAGAAGTTATATGGCCAAGTATGAGCTTCTTCTATGGAATAAGCGGTCTATTCTGGTGATGCATTTGGTATAGAACACCCATATTTCAAATAAACTCGACCTAAATGTGTTGATTTAGATAGCCACCCAATACACATAATACATCCTGATGGAATTTGAGGTGGACCACTCTCAAGTGGAAAAAATGTTTTTGAGAAACCATGTCTTGTCATATCAATACACACCTATTATATGCACTTGTTATGAGATGACCCATTTCAGGGAAGTGCACCCATTTTGACATCGATGTTGGATCTCTAATACAAGGAACAAGAGCGGTGTGAATTTCATTGATATATTATTTTTTTGTATAGCAGTATCTATGATTCTCTATGCGCCTGCAACTCTTTTAGAAGTTGTTGGCGGAAAAGGGTATGACTCTCCTCTCTGTGACCGAGAAAAGCTAGAAACATAGTGGTCATCATCCAAAAGCTTCAACATTTCTTGCATTTCAGATCTTCAATCTCTTACCGCGTTGTTGTTTCGGGTACGCAAATTGTATACTTTCTTGATATTTGGAACATTTTGAGGTTTTTTCCGTTTCAAAGTTTTATGTAAGTTTTTCGGCGTCACCATGTTAAAGTCCATGTCCCAAACAAGTTTCTTCTTTCTCTGAAATAAGGCAAAATATAATGGGATGATCGCCTAGCTTGTGACACAAGGCATGATTATGTATACTAAAAATCACATCAAATTTTCATGTATCATTCGCCTTACTGTATCCGTGCAATTTAAACATACACTCACATTTTCTCGATTCAGTGTCATCATATTTCAACTTCTAAATTAATGGTTGGTATGTGTCACTTCTTTTGCATCTCATTATTACAAATGATTGTCGTCTATTATAACCATTGTTAGACCTTTCAATTACAACGTCAAACCCCAATTTTTAAGCCTCTATGCAGACCTATTGTAACATATATTCACGAAAAATAAACTCTTGTTTATTTGTAAATTGTTAACATCTACCTCAACAACAACTGGTCTAGCACTCAGTTTAACATCATCTTTCACTTCATTCGATTTAACATCATCCTTTATTTCATCTGGTTTAACATTCATCCTCACAATATATTTGAAAAACATATTCGGATGCACCATATCTAATACCAATCATAAAATAAAAATAGATTAAAAACTCAAATTATCATACAAATTCGGAGATGCATCTCCGGAACACATGAAACTTAATTCGGAAATGCATCTCCAAACTCGGTGTTCTTTTTACCATTCAAAAACTAAATTAATGCAAAGAATGAAGGATGAAATGAATGAACTTTACCTTAAATTTTAAATTCTTTTATCTCCTTTAATGTGATAAAATACAAGAATGATGTTTTAGTGTTGAACAGTTGATTCAAAATGGAAGAAATTTTTAAGTGGTTTGAGAGTGAAGTTGAGTTTGATCATAAGGAAGAAAAACATGCAACGTGGTGTTTTAATCAATTTCCCACTTGAAATTTTCAGATATGTATCTTCAGAACCGCCACTTTAAGTTGTTAAATAAATCAGCTCAGCGAATGAAAACACCATAAATGAGTACAGAAAATTTTACGGAAATATATCTCCAAATTCACTCTCAAAAAATATACGAAGATGCATCTCCGAATTTTTTTTTAACAAAAATAGAATAATAGTTAACTAAAATACGATTACTTGTGTGATTTTAAATGCATGCAAAGATGCGTCTCCGAGCACCAATAAAAACATTTCTAAATTTGTAGAGGCACAAAGAACATCCAATAAGGTGGAATAAGGTGGATGGAATGAGTATATCCCTAATAATTTTCCTAAAATAAACTCTTATTCTTTTTTACTTGATAGCCATTAAAATAAATCAATTCAATTTTTCAATATTAAAAAAAAAATTGAAACTTAACCATCTAAGCAAATCGAATAGGATGAGATGCTAGAACCCAGAAAATCAATCGAATAAGAACATTGTCTTTATATTTTATAGTAATAGTCAACACTCATTGATTTCGCAAAATAAATACTACTATCTCCATTTCACAATGAGTGATCCATTTGAAATAAAAGAGTGTCACAAAATAAATGACCTATTTTAATTTTTAAAATATCTTTTTCGATTTTACCCTCTAATTACTATTATTTTCATCATTCTCAATACGTGATAAGGGTACTTTAGTAAAAAATTCATTCTCTCTCTTTCATTTCTTTCTTTTTTTTAATCTGTGAGAAAAGTCAAGTGAATAACTTATTGTGAGACGGAGTGAATAATATAGTTTTCTCAATTCTACTCCCGATAAAAAAAAGCATTTACAGAAATGATTGTCCTAGAATCAGAATGAAGAATCTAAAAGCGAAGACATTAAGAATGATAAAGGGTGTGGATTAGAATTCTTTGCATTCAGTTATTCACAATTCATTCAAAAAGGGTGTGGACTAGAATTCCCTACATTCAATTATTCACATATTCACACATTCAAGTAAATCTATATCATTCAAATAAAATTCAATGATTAAGAATACATAAATAAAAAACTACTTAACTTTTTTAATAGCCCGGTTGACTATGCAAGTCACTTTGACAGTAAAGAATCAAAATCCAAAGTGTGTTCTTAATCATATGTTGAGATGTGACTTAAAAGGAGCAACTCTTTTCTCCTTAGTCTATGGCAGTGTTCCCTACAGAAGTCGAGATCCCATTAATGTGAGTCTTAACGAAAGTCAAATTGACAAAAGTTGAATTGTGTTAGAACAGATATAACCAGTTGAATTTTTATTGAAGAGAAGAGAATGACAATATTTTATCCTAATCAATTGTATCAAAAAAAGATGAAAAAAAAACATTTGATAAGAGGATTCGTCCTCGTGAGTTTAGAGAATGCAATCTCGTGTTCAAAAAGATGTTGTATATCCATAATAATTCACATGGCAAGCAGACTCTCAATTACAAAGGCTCATATGTTATCAAGAGACCCTTCTTTAAAAGTGCATTGATTCTTATAACTATGGATGGTGAAGAGCTCTCTAATCTAATGAACACTAATAAATTTACCAAAAATACATTTTCAAAATAAATTTATTTATAAAATTGAAATGTGACTCAAAAACAAACTATCTGTGTATTGTGGTGTTGAAATGCATCTCTGAAAATTAAGAACATTTTTTACTTTTCGCATGGTGCTTAGAAAACATATAGGATATAGGATCCATTAAAAAATTGCTTAAAAAACATATAGGATATAGGATGCATTAAAAAATCCTCTTTAGTTAAAAGGTTGAATTCTATTCAGTGGAGGTCAATAATCCTCCAAACCTAGAAAGAGTTTTATACATTTGATTCTTCCATTCCTACATATTTTCAAAATTCTCATACAACCCTTTTTGTTTACTCTTTCATCCGAGTTTTATGGATTTTTCGCCCTCATTTAAGAGATGTACAGAATACAAAATAATGAGTTCTATGGATTCCTCAAGTTATTAAATTTTCAAATCAATTTGTAGCCTTGTAAGGATTTTAGCTTGAAATGCTTTTCGTTACAAGACAGAGGAATCAATATTTCGTCTTTTTTGGGATATTTGAGCTTGATTGTTCAGCTTTCCTCTTGATTCCCAGAAAGTGCTCAACCTGAAACGAGAAACATGTTCTTAACGGGGATATGTAAAAAATAATAATAATAATAACTCAAACGCATAAAGCAAAGTATGCATGTATTAAATGGCATAAAAGTGAGGTAAATATTTTAATCAACATCTCTATGAAAAATTCTTCTTTGCAACGTGTTAAAATGAAACGAAATTCAACGTAAATAATGTCAATGTTGAGTAATATGACGAACACTAGACTAAAAATGGGCATGTTAATTATTTCTTCTTAAAAAAAGAAGCGCATTTAACCTACTTAATATCTTGAGATATCAATACGTTCTAAACCGTGTATTTAAAATAGAAAATACTGGAAAGTGAAAACAGATGCAGCCATTCTCTCTTTCAGCCTATAAAAGATCCTAAACCAGATAATGCAAGGCTGTCATATTGGTGGCCTACAAACTTATCCAACAGACATGACAGGTTTAACCACAACTGCTGATGCAACTGAACCTGTTAAACAAATCTCCACCTCCTTTGTCTTTTAAAAGTATAATTGTCCTTTTAATCAAATACATAATAGAAAGACAACTTGCATTTGTTTTACATTGAGCACTAATTGTCACAGAATAAAATCACAAGAACAACAAAATCCTAGGGATTGATTTTCTTAACTTGAATCAAAAGTGGAGATAAACATTTCAGACATCAAATTCCAAGGAATCCTAAAACATTCCATGAAAAGAGTGCTCTCCAATCTAATTCAGATGACATAGTGGTTACAGACCATCCGTTTTTAAACAACACTTAGTCTTGAAGAAATATCCAGGGTCTGTTTGCTTGTGCTAGATTTTTTTTATTTATGTTTTAGTTCTATGATAATTTATGTTAACTAAGTTTCTCAAATAAAAGCTTAAACCCGCCAAAAAAAAGTTGTTGTAGTCCTTTTCTCTATAGTTGAAGTAGTAACTTTTGAAAAAATTGACATGTAAAGCACCCTTTTTTTCAAAGCCTATACAAATTACCTTCCGATCACCGAGCATAGGTGTCAAGCCTCCAGGAAGATCCTTCTCAACTGTAGCAAAACCACTTTTTGGGTCACTAGTTTGTCTGCCAATAAAAGAACACATAGATCAGCATATATAAACTAATATTTAATTATATTATTATTTTTAAACTTCCATAAAAGTGCAAAATACAGTATATTCAATAATATGGAATACAAAAGTTTTAAATCTTGTCAACATAATATTTATCCACCAACACAAAAACTAAAGGCATGTTTCACCATGCTTTTCAAAATGAAGGGTGGGGGTATATAACAGCAGATGGAAACTATAGGATTCAAGTAGTGTGGATGGAAATGAACAAATGCTTTTAGGGTCGTTCGTGAGAGAAGGTATCATACATGTTTAATGTTCAAAGGAAAAATATACTGCACAACTTAAAGATGACAGTTATGCAGAAAAGTCATGTTATTGTTCAGTTAGATAGCAATAAAGGTAGGAATATATTCAGCTACGTGGGTGGTTATGTATTTTTAGTTATGCACAAGACAATTGTGTCACAATTAGGGAATTCCTAAAGTATGATGAGAGTAGATGTAAATGGGCAGAAAGGTTGTATATTTGGTAGTTTAGAGTTTAGAAAGTTCATGCTCTGTAGGAATTACATAAATCTTGGACAGCACCTTTGCTTTAGACAGGAATGATGAATGTAGTTTAGAGTATGGTGTTCGATCCTAATCAGCAAATATTAATCACCAAACTCAATTGGTAAGAATATGGGCCAGTTAAAAGCCATCATAAAAGTATGCTCAATGTTGAAATGGATAAGTGACTATATGAGACAAGAAAGAACGTTTAGTCGGCTCCTATTGGAGAAAAGCATTGTCCCATCCCATTGTAGTTAATTTATCTATGAGTATAAAAGATTCGTAGAAGCACCCATGAGGAGGTAAAAAGAGACATAGAAAAGAAACTATGACAGAAATTCAAAGTTGAAAGGTAAATGATCTATCTTTAAACACTATATGATAAAGCATTATGACATTGTATGGTGCATGCAGTTGACCCGACCTAGCAGAAAAAGGCTTGGTGGTGGTGGTGGCTGTTCTCCTTGCTGTAGTCTTCAGATTTGAACACAACATACCGCTTATTAGCATTAATGTTTGGATATGCGTACTGATTTAATGAGTCTTAGTAAAGAAACCATTTTCCTTGACCAAAAAATAAATAAACAACTTCCCAAACTACATTTTTCATAAACCAACCCCTACAAATGGGAAGAAGTGTAAGTAGGGGGAGAATGAGATATGAAAAGATATGGACTGGTAATCTCATCATCCACAAAGGTAACAACAAGGAATTACTCGGCACAATTAAATCATCAAGTTATATCAAGTGTATAGTTGCTTCTTACTGCAGACAATAGATCAAGATATGGATCATTATATAGTGTCATAACTCAAACGTAATACGTATGGAAAATAAAGCAGACCCAATAGTCAAAAATGTTGACATGGAGGCATAGGAAATAGACTTTGATGTAAAAAGAATGTACCCCATTATAGCAGCACCAACTTTTATCAGAAAATCACAAAATCAATAGTTAATCTTAGTATCCCATTCAATCAAATGTAAGCATTTATTTTATTTCTATCAAAACTTCAAGAGTAAAAAGTGTGTGATGTTAAAAACATACCCTGGTTTAACATGGCCGCTGAGAACAAGATATGGTGTCTTCATACGAGCCTGAGCTTCCCTCATTCTCTCCACAGACAACGATGGTGTATCTGAACTCTTCATTTGCTTCAATTTCAATTCTTCTTGAAATTGCTTCATACGCTTTTCCTGCTTCATTTTCCCAGGTTCTTTGCCATGGAACTTATGAGAAATCATTCGAAAGGCTTCCTTAGGAGTCAACTGGAAGCAACAAAAGAACAAGGTAATCAAGGATAAGTAACATTCAACTCTAATGTGAAAACTGCAAGGTGGAAATGAAAGATATCTCAACATTGATTAAAAATACATTTGAGGGGAGTACCAATTTCAAGACACATTGTACAATGAAATATTATGATCATTAAGCACCCAAATCCATGAACACATGTTATATACAAAAGCATGCAAACAAAATCTTTAGACTAAAGGTGTAGTACTCCTATATTCCTAACCACAACAGACATTAATGAAATATTATAATCATTAAGCACCCAATTGCATGAACACATTATATACAAAAGTATGCAAAGCAAATCTTTAGACTAAAGGTACAATACTTCTACATTCCAAACCACAACAGATATCACCTTTTTTGCTATTTGAAGTAAACAAGATATGATCTATAAAGCTTATACAAAAATAATGAACATCTTCACTCTCAAGTTACTTTGCATAAAAACAATACTAATAAGGAAAGTGGACCACGACCACCGAGTCACACAACAACAACTTGATCTGTTGCGCTGCAGCAAACAGGAAGTGATCAAACAACCTATAATTTCTTCTCTCCATAGACTAATAACACTGTTTCCTTTTTCATGAGTTTTGCTTAGTCTCAGACCCTCTTACTTTCTCCCTTCCTCTCTTATTCCTATGCATGCCTGCTAAGTAAATTTTCAACAAAAAAAAAAACAGACTGACTCAAAGGTAATTACCCCAACCCCCCATTCAGTTGAGTTTAGATGCTCCATAAGCCTGTAAGCTTTATTAAGTCCTATAGTAAACATCCTCGTTAACTACCATAATGTAAAAATGCAAATGCAGCAATCAAAAATAATATAATATGAACCTAGTGCTACAGTAAAAGCTAAATATGACCCCAAAAAATGATGAAAATGAATATGGAGGACTTACAATTCTCCCAAACTCATCTGTCCTCTCAATGTGAATCTCTTTTTTATTCTGTACTTCCTTTCCTTCATCCTCTACAATCCCAACCAATTTGCTTTTCTTCTTATCCATGTTTCTGCCACCCCATTCAATGCTTTCTTTAAGTGTTCCTCGATCTTTAAGCAGTTTCAGTGCACCTGACAGTCCTTTCCCTACAACAACTTCATGTATACTTTCATCAGGAACTATCACTTCCTTGTCTTCTGAGTTGAGTTGCTCATCTGTTTCAGTTTCTTTAACCTCAGTCCACCCGCCAGCCTCATCTTTCTTTTCCTCGACGGGAACATTTGCCTCTTCGACATCATGCATGAAAACATCTTCACCTTCTGGCTTACGTGCTTCTGAAAAATAGAAAAGCAACACAAGTTATACCTATTTATCAGCTTCCCCTTTATATACTCTTTACACAAACAGTTCTAACAAGCTGACAAAACAATGTTTCTATGTCAGAAACATCTACAATATCCAATTAAAACAGCACAGAAAGATTACACAACCTTCAAATATGTTGTGACATTGAAATACTTTAAAGTACAGATTAATCAGATTATTGCGAAAAGAAACAACCGATTTCAACAAAGAAATAACTACATAGTATAAGCCAATCCTAACTTGTGATAAAATACATTTTACCTGCTAGCTTACAGAGAAGTGTTGTTAAAAAATTAAAAAAAAATTAAAAAAAAAAAAAAGATGATTCTCTTTTACATTTAATCAGAACAATCACACTTCATAACATCAAGATAGTATGAACTTAAAATTAAAAGGAAAAAAAAAAAAACATAGTCACATAAAAACTTACCTTCATCAATGTGAAGACCCCAGACAAATTCTTCCATCTCTGTAAATACCACCTTATTTTCTCTTGACTCTCCAGCTGTAGAATTTGGATCATCAACAGTCTCATTACTAGGATTTGAGGCAGCAAGTAAAGCAATAGCTTGAGGGCCAGATGCTCCTTTCTCCTCCTGTTTCTTAAGAGCTAGTCGCCTTGCTTTCTCTAAGGATTTACAAAGATCCTCGTCATCATCTGCAAAAGCTGGGGTTTCATCTTCCCCTGTTTTATTGTACAGAGATTGTTCTGGACGAAGTAACTTGGAGGCTTCATCTGCTTTAGCATAAGCAGACTGGTAAGCATTATTTCTCATTTCAGCTGCCAATCTTTCTTGTTCATCTTTGATGGCTTGCCTCTTTGCATCTCTCCGAGAACCAAGGTCACCAACACCCAATCCTGAAGAGATAGCTTCAGCTTCAAGAGCATTAATGTCCAGCTTATCTTTCTTCCGTAAGGACTTTTTCTTCTTGGGCTTCTTAAATTGAAGCATTTCTTCATGAGAATAGTAGTCTGATGATACCTTTCCAGATGAAGTAAGGTCTTCAAAGTTATTAGTGGAAACACCAGTTAACCTTCTTCGGAGCTGTTAATAGGAAAAGATACCCCTTAGCAAACAATAAAAGAGTAAAACACATACTGTATGACATATACATGTAGCTAATTCAATAAATTTCTAAGGAACAATTACAAGAGGAAAGAAGTAGTATGAAAACAATCAGAGATATGTAGTAATAGAAAATGCAGTTGCTCTTTCCATTTTTGGTTGTAACTAATTCTATTGAATTGGAAAGTTAGTTACAGCAGTTGCTAACTGGTTGTATTTATAACAACCAGTTTAACCTGCTGTAGCATGTGATACATCTGACAGGTGTCAGTTAGAACTAGATACAAAGCCTAGACTTAGCTAGCTAAAACATACCTCTTCAAGTTTCTTTTCAGCTTCGCCTGAGAACCTTCCTCTTTCATCCAAAGTTAAACCCTGAATAAAAAACTCAGATGAGTATAAGCATTCACAATAACTACCTTGCTCAACAATTTATGCTTTGGAATGTAAGAAACAATGAGCATCAAACCTCTTCGGCAACTGGATCATCATATTTTGGAAGTATTTTCTTTTCTGCAGAGGGATCATCATTGAACCTGAAATTGATAGCCATGCTTGATCAGATTAAAGATTTGATTCTACAACATTTCAGTTTCTATATACATTGTTTCAATCATGATAGTAATGATCATCTTACTTATCGTCGTATATGCCAGTTTTCTTTTTTGCAGCTTTATAAGCATCATCTCGGCGTTTTTGTTCCCCAATTTCCACATTCTCAAGCATATCAACGTCTAGAGTGTGAGAAAACAAATTATTTTACACAATGATGCACAACAACTCATAGAATTCAAACAAGAACAATATAAGAACACCGAGAAGTTGTACCTTCATTAAGATCGCCTTCAGCAAGTATGGGCTGATCTCTGATTGTCAGAACTACAGTACCACCTTCTGCTACTTTGTCAAGGCCGTGAAGAACTTTCACCCCCGCCAGGTGATCTGTATGATATTCAGCATACAAGTATATATTACCAATCATATTAACAACAATGGAGCAGATTCTTAACCTCCAAAGACGAATCACATAACAAAAATGTCACTAGGCAATGGGCAATTGTAGAAGTTTAGTGCTTTGAGCTATAATGTTGGTTCCATATGCATTGACAAAATATAGTAGATCGTACATTAAAATCACAGTTTTGAAAATCAGACAGACCATTTGACCTGCTGAGCCAGAAAATGGTGTGTTCAGTATGTTAAACCAAAAAAAAATGGTTGCAGAACCGGTGATAATGAACAAGTCAAACAGGTCCAGAGCCAGTAAAACCAACAAAACACCGTAGTTACAAACTTATATATATATGTGGATTTTTATTAGCAATCTGTTTGCATTTGGTTTCAATATTTCAGGACTCATAATGCAATTAACTTATGTGGATCTAAAATTTAATTTATTTTTATCCAAGAATATTAAAAAGTTATCTGAATTTTTTACATTTATATGAAATTACTACTCAATGTACATTTACATAACATCTGTTCAACCGTGATTCACCACGCTTGAGCCATTAAACCATGAACCAGAAGCTCCACATTCTAAATGACCCTCCAATTTTTAAATCATTAGTTCAAATCATAGTTTCAAATCTCAAACAGTATCCCAAGTGATCAACTTCATAAATACTACAGCAGTACTTCTACGGCTACTCCCTATACCCACTCATCTAATGGTTTAATATTATGTGAGGAGTGGTTAGAATTTGTTGGTTTCCTGTTGCTGTTACAGTTAACTACTGCTTTACCATTTTGTAACTGATCCTGTCTGTGACTCACTCACTATAAATATGAGGAGTCACAACTCTACCTATTGTGAAGAGTAACATCTCCCTCGTTCAGCTTTCAAATTATTTAAGTGGTTTCTGGATTCCTTGGCATCAAGGCTATTGATGTTTCTCTCTCCTCAATTGGTGATCTTGTACCTCCCATGAATAGAACAACTAATCAGAGATATAAATGTTAAAACTGACAGCTTAACTAATTTAGTTATGGTTAAGCTGTTAGTGTGGGTAGTTCGAAACCTGTTACAGATCGTCACTCTCTAGTCTCTGCTATCGATAAATAGCTATTCAAAATTAGAGTGCATAGAAGTATGAACAGTTCTCACCTATTCCTTCTGTTTCCGTTGTTTAGCTAAGTTTATTATTTAGTTAGGACAGCTGTCTCCTTCTCTGTTTGCATGTATAAGCTTTAGTTTGTTAGGACAGTTATCCCACTTCTGTGAACTAGCGCTTAATAATTGTATACATAGTAGAAGGCACGAGCATTGAGACTTCAGAAATTACATAATACAGAACTTTACAGGATAAAGAAACAGGGAAAAAGATGTACCAGTGTGATGGGCGGTATCCTCGTCGTCACTTCTCTCTACTGCGATTTCGTCCTATAAAATTTTAAATTACAAAAATTTGGTTACATACCTAGAACGCAACAAAAAAAAATCTTACACAAACAACATCACAACATATTAAAGTTAGTAGATGAGTAAAAATACCTGCTCCTCAAAATGCTTTGAGAGCTGCGATACTCTTTTCTTTTCAAGCTTGCGGCTTTTATTAACCCATGATGAGATCTCGGAAGCTGCTTCAGATTGTTTATTTGTTCTTGTTTCTTTCATCCTACCCAAAATATCGTTTGTGGATATTGTCACAACAGAATGGATTTTAAAACAGTAAAAATGCAATGTTTCAGAATATTGGTGATCAAAATAAACAAGTTGATAATAGAAACTCCAGCATAAAAATAGTAAAATTGAAGATATATATTAAGCTGGTGATGGGTGTATTATCTTTAGAGGTCATGTATGCTTGCATTTCTTTAAAGAGAAAACAACAATATAGTTAAAATATGTGTTTTTTATCTTTAAAGAAAACATGCTTCGCAAAAAATTAGAAAAGAGGCCAATTTAAGTGCTTCTCTCAGAAGCAAGAAAGAGTAAGTTATCAATGAAAATTAGAAAAAATACATGAAAATTATAAAAAATACATGATTTACTTGGAAAGAGTAAGTGCTTCTCTTCCAGGAACAATGAGTTACAAATTAGAATAGGTTCATATAAAGAGTTTTCAAGCCTAATTTTAGCAAACAATAGTGAGATTGGTTAGTTATGGTATCAAAATGATTACTTCTTGATTAGTTGATTATATGGTGCAATTCGAACATATGTGTGAATGTGATGCCTAAGAGACCCAGGCTAAGCATAAAATCAAGGTTTCACTTCCATCTACTCATCTTATATCCTTTTTTTCTGGTTTAATAATCAACCAGATTCCATTTTTTTCAGCAACCTTGATAAAAAAAGCCATCCCATCAAAAACCTAGCTAAATTATTTGTTGCTTGAATTGGCCCTAAAACCCATCAAAGCAAAACCCTACTCTTGCAGGAGCCATTCACAGCATCCGCCCAACCATTATTAACTTGAACATTAGAAGTACGCAATGGCTTTTAAACTCTATTCACCCACAAATATACTCAGTGAGCAATCAATCCAATTATTTTTTATCAATAATCCACCCAAGAAAATCTAAACACACAATAAATCATAAATCCTTTGGCAACCTACAATGTATCAAAATTTACAACATGATAATACAGTACATATAATTCAAATACTACAAGATATGCAGTAAGGAATAAAATACTAAATGTTGTGACCAAGTGGCCATGGATTCTCTTCTGGATGGCTTACAGGCAAATGAAATAAGTGTGTTGGACAGTGTCAACTCCCGGAAAACAGCCAACCCACACTAGCACAATAGTGGAAAGTGGGTTGACTGATATTTTGAAGTTGCTTATTACTACTATTATTTGGTCTATAATGTTATTACAGTTTGTGCATTTAATTTACGGTCTTACTATTTACTAATATTAGTTTAATATATTTCATGTTATGTTTGTTGCTCTATGTGATCAATGATATGGATAACTACCGGCCCCAAAAATGCTTGGTGGTATAGCGGATATTGATACGACTACTGTGTCAATATTTAGGAAAACAAGACAAGTTAAAATATAGAAGAATACAAAAAGTTAAAGACATGCAAATATAAAAGCTAAAATATAGAATATTACAAAAAGTTAAAGACATATTCCTAACTAATAATCAAAATTATTGTTACTAATATTCAAAGTCAAAATAAAGCAAATAAGTTTTGAACTCATTTAAGCAATTAAAACATATACAAGTGATTCCTTAAATGGAATCACTATTTCCAAGCTCTTACTCGTCGCCAAGTCCCCTCCCTTCACTACTAGACCTCATTTGTGCTGCATCCTCCCCCTACTCTTTTCCCTATATTTTTTGTATCTCTATAGAGACAGTGTGATTTCTAACTCTGTTTTGCTGCAAAGTGATTACTTCTGTAGGGGGGCTAGACATTCGCAGAAAAGAGTGACAGTAAGCCAAACAAGGTAAGAAAGAAGAGGAGATGAAGCCTTTTAGGAGGAGACGGGATGAGATGACACGAGAGTCCTATTGTGTTGTCATTCAGAATTTTGGGGTGAAATGACAAAGAAATAGAGGGACGGTAAGATGAGGTAAAATGGCTAGTTTAGGGTGAAATAACCAAAAAGTCCAAACCATTGACAATTTTACAAGAGCTTCACTATAGCTGAAGCTATTGGTGGCACTACTTCTGTAACGCTATGGAGTTTCACGTACCACCTAGGGGCTTCTACACTACAATGCGACCTCTGTAGACTGACCCTAAAATTACATAAACTAACCTAGTCCAAAATCCAAACTCTACAAAAGAGCCATTAAAATTCTAGGCATTCATTATTCGCCAATTAATACATAATTATGAGTTTATGACCTGAAGCATAAAGTAATGAGTCGTGTATTTCAAGTTTACATTGCAGAATCTACAATTTAATACTTAATCAAAGAACAAAAGTAAAAGTGATATGAAGTGAAGTAACAAAAAAAAAAAGACTTACTTCAAGATACGCTCTTCAAGTTCTTTTTGTGACAAGTGTGTTGATGTTTCACCATCTTTATCATCTTGATTGAGTTTTGAAGTCTTTGCATGCTTGCCAACCTCCTCGTCTCTCTTTTCATGGTAGTCCACTTTATCATCAAGATTACCCGATTCATAATCTTCCTCATGAGCCTTTCTACTTCCTCTATCCCTTGACCTATCTTTATCTCGATCAGTCTCCCTCTCCTCTCTAAATTTTTCTTTCCCCTTATCCCGATCTCCATCTCGATAACTTTCTCTATCTCTATGTTTCTCTCGCTCCCTTTCCTTTGGCTTATCCCTGTCCCTATCCCTAGTTTTCTCTTTACCTCTCTCCTTCTCGCGCACTCGATCACTATCTTTCTCCAACTCTCTTTCTTTCTCCCGGTCTCTATCCTTACCCCGATCTTTCTTATCCCTATCCCTATCCCTCTCGCGCTCCTTTTCCCTATATTTCTCTCTATCATAATCTATCTCCCTTACTTTACCATCTTTACCCCTATCCTTTTCCCAATCATCCCTATTACGTTCCCTTCCAGCACCTCTATCCTTCTCTACATCTTCAGAAGCCCTCTTGGGCTGATCCCTGTCTTTACTCGGACGTTCCTTATCACTCTTCTTCCTATCCTTGCTCCTATGCCTGCTAGACTTGTCTACCCCATCATCATCATAATGCTCCCTCACAGGGGAATCGTCTTTGTCATTCCTATCATCATACCGCGATTCAGACCACTCCACATCCATCACAAAACCTACAAACAAAAGCAGATCATTGAACTGAAAAAAACAAAACCCTAAGTTGTCAATTCCCTCTGCTTTGGCGTGCACATTGGGGAATCTCGATGCAGATTGGAGTTCTGCTGCGACGAGGCGGCTATGGCGGCCACCGCAAATCACAATGAAATCGCATTCCCGCGTGCACTACAGGACCGCATCAGAAGAGAGGAATTAAAATCGGAGAGGTAAAAAAGAAAGAAGGAAAATAAAAAGGATACCTGAAAGTTCTCAGTTTCGGGGTGCGGATGACCGTCTCCGCCGGCGTTTAAATCAGTCAACTCCAACTCGTATCGGATACAAGGGTAGAGCAAAATTGATTCGAGAAGTAAGAACTTGATTTGATTTTTTATTTAGGTTAAATGCATGTGGCTTATTTGTATGGTTTTAAATATTTAGTTTTTATTTTAAAACAGTCTTTTAATCCCTCTATTTTATAATTTTTTAGATTTTTTTATTCCTTCCACTTTTATTATGTGAGTAAAACAAATATTTTTAATTAGGTAATATTGATAGATGATTAGAATATTTAGTTAGGTAATATTTTTAATTAGGTTTTAAATATTTAGTTTTTATTTTAAAACAGTCTTTTAATCCCTCTATTTCATAATTTTTTAGATTTTTTTATTCCTTCCACTTTTATTATGTGAGTAAAACAAATATTTTTAATTAGGTAATATTGATAGATGATTAGAATAAAAATAAGAAAAGTTAATACTTATAATATTATAAATAATTATATTTAAGAAAAATAAAATAAAAAAAATAATAAATTTTAAATATTGTTTACATAATACATTGATAATTTGAATTTTTTATCCAAATATCCCAATTTTTTTAAAAAAAATTTAAAATAACTCAATTTTCAAACTATTTTCGAAAGTATTTCACTTTGGGTTAATGATTAGAGTGTAGGCGTCATGCTAATTGGCGACCCTTCACAAGTAAAAAGTGTTGTCGTCAATTGGATTGGAAATAATTGGCATTGTCAATCCAATTGGCGACCTAGTGTAAATTGTCAAAGAGTGTTGGCAATTCAATTGGATACAGGCTTGAAAGTAAAAAAAATCTATAAATAGAGGTGTTCTGATAATTTATTTTCACATATCATCTCATATACTTGTTGTTATAGACTGGACTGACGCTTAGCTCACAACCAAGCAAGCATAAGCTCCAATGAGGTTGGGCCCGAGAATACCACGCTAACGGGCAGGATCCCCGTCGAGCACGACATCTCCCCGTCGGGCATAGGCCAACAGCTGTCGGGCAAGACCCTCACATCCGACCAGTCAGCCTCCTTCTTCCCCTATCGTCGGGCAGGACCCTCGCCTCCGACCAGCAACCTCTGCCTGTCCGGGGAACTCCTCGGGCCTTCCCCCACGTTCTCCACGTGTCCCTCGCGCAGGGACACGTCATAAAGTAACTACCCACGTCCTGGAGATTCGGTCTTCCTCCTCCCGGATAGTGCGGAACAGTTACCCTAGGACAAAGACCACGTCCTGGTCTTCACAACGCCACGTCAGCCCTAACAGTTACTAACATTAGGCCTGGCAGCCCAGCCCAATGCTAGGTAACTGTTGGCCCTGCGCTGGGGGCTCACTATAAATACCTTTTTCACTATAGGGTCAGGTAACTTAACTTTCTTACTATCTCTTTGTACTTGCTTCCACTCTGCTTGTCACTTACTTTGGCATCGTTGTGTGTTTTAGGTACACCCCATCTTCCTCCATACTTTTGGTGAGCAGCAAACAAATCAACGACGCGTGGCAGGTTATAGCTCCCCTTCTGGTCAGGTACGATAAGTGGCGTCGTCTCTGGGAACCTAAGCTTCCCCGTTCCTCCGAGTAGAGAACCAAAGCTTCCTCCTCTCAAATCTCAAGAGCATGACTATCCCATATCACAACGAGGTTGTTCTCGGTTCCGCCTTCATGTCGATCACCAACGGCGACAACCAGTCGTGGACGTCTCAACCCTTGGAGACCAACGTCAGGGACGGCCAAACCGCTTCTCCCTCGTCCGAGAAGGTTACGCACCAGGACATTCCTCGAACAAGGAGTCTGGCGGTATTCCAGCCCATTTCCACACCGGCTGGAGCGAACCCGACGATGGTCGCCCTCTTCGCGGCCATCAACCAGACGAACCAGATGTTGTTCCACCAAAATGAGCGCATTGGCCCGCTGGAACACGACACCTCATCCTACTCTCCTCCGCGGAAAAATCAGCGCGGGAACTCCTGGAGCCCCTCTCCACGACCACGGGGGCGTCGGCCACAGCTGGAGAGGCCCCAACTGGTGCTCTCTAAGAAACGAGCAAGGTTACCACCCTGGAAGGATACACGGTTCCCAGAGCCAAGGGCCAACGGGCCAGAAGCCCCGGCCAGAAAATCGAGGGGGCGTAACCCGCCTCCTCGACACGAACCGTCGCCTCCGTCATCCTCGGTTCACAGCGACGAGGACGACTACAGGACTCCTCTGTCGCGAGAAATCATGGCAGCTCCCATCCCCCATGGGATGGAGAAACCACTCGTGCTCTCGACTTACGACGGCACCTCATACCCAGACGACCATCTGGAAGACATCGAGGCTATGCTCGACTATAGAAACGTCTGAGGAGTCATCAAGTGTAGGCTCTTCCCGACGACACTGAGAAAGGGTGCCATGGCATGGTACAAGAGCCTGGAGCCTGAGTCTATCATGTCGTGGAGGATCCTCAAGGACCTCTTTTCACGACACTTCACGGCGTCAAGACGACATCCGAAGACGGAGGCCGCGTTGGGCGCAATCATCCAGGCCTTGGACGAGCCCCTCTGAAACTACATTGAAAGGTTCACGAGGGAGGTGGTTCAGGTAACGACGTCAGGTGCGATGAAACGTTATCTGATGGAGCAAGGCTTACGCCGAGATTCCAAATTCTACGAGGTCGTGGCTATCCACCGGCCAGACTCTCTCCCGGACTTCCTCGAAAGAGCCCGCCACTACATCCGGTTTGAGGAGACAGAGGCCACCAACACCGCCCGCGACATTAAAAACCAGGAAACTCCCCGCGGATCCCGAGATGAAGGAGCCTTAGCCCACCGGCGCAGGGGAGACCGGCGATGGGAGGACCGTCCCCGAGAACCCCGCGAGCAGCGGGGCCTCGCTAGCCGTTTCACCGAATATACGGCACTGGTCGCTTCCCGCGAGCGCATATTGGCTGAGTACGCCAATTCAGAACTTGTCCGGGGAGGTGTCCGTTTCCCAAAACCAGCACCCACCAAAGCCAACATGGACAAATCCAAATATTGTCGCTTCCACCGAAGCCACGATCACGTGACAGAGGATTGCATCCACCTAAAAGATGCAATCGAAAATTTGATCAAGGACGGGCATCTGAAGAGGTACACCCGGGGAGGAGATCCCCCGTGGCAAGAATCCCCCAAGGCTAAAAAATTCGAAGACCTCCCTCCTCCCAACAACGACTCCGGCCTACAGGTGGCCCTCAACGTTGGTCGACCTGAGGACTGGTTCGCTCTAAGGGAATTCGGCCTCCCTGCTGAGCTTCAGCTGCCCGAGGAGCCAGTGCGCCCCACCAGCCGGTGGAAATACTTCCCCAGGGCAATGGTCATCTCCGGCGGGACCCTGAGCCAGCTCTCGATTGGATCGGTGAAGAGGTAGTTCGACGAACTAATCAACAGCAGCTCCAGCAAAATGAGCACGCTCGTTAAGTTCCAAGGACGATCCAACCCGATCACCTTCTACCTCGAAGAACTCCCAGGGGGAACCCCCAACTCGGCCATACCCCTGTTGATACGGGCATAAATGGCCAACTTTGATGTCCGTCGCATTCTGGTCGACGAAGGGAGCTCTATAGACATAATGTACGCTCACCTCTTCGCGACGCTCCAGCTCGACGAGACTGACCTGGCCCCCTACCTGGGCTCTGACCTCTAGGGCTTGAATGGGATAACAACAAGACCATGGGGATACGTCAAGCTCAAAGTCACTTTTGGGAAAAAGGAAACAGCCAGAGAGATCAACGTCTGTTTTCTGGTCGTCGAGTGCCCCTCTCTGTACAATTGCATCCTAGGCAGGACGACGATGGTCGAACTCACAACATTACCGTCCACCGTCCACCGGAAGATGAAATACTACACCAGGCTAGGGGTCGTCGTCGCTCTCAACGGGGACATAGAAGTTGCCCGGCGATGCTTCGAAGCGGCAATGAAGGGCCTTAGCACGATCGGACCCACGACCAAAGCCATCAAGCCCTCCACCATCCAGGAGGGCAAACTGAAGGATCACGTCGACGTCGTAGACCTCGACTGCCATTTCGCCGAAGGGCCAGACCACGGAGACAAAGCCAACAACACTCCTCCAACAACCAATGGGCAGCCTACCCACCCAACGTGCCCCCATTCCAGACGGGGACTTCGAGATCGTGACCCTCGGAGCGGACACGGTGAAGACCATGAATATTGGGGCGGGGCTGCCCGACCTGGCGAGGAAGCAGTTGAAAGCCTGCCTCCGTGAGAATGCCGACCCCTTCGCCTGGAGCGCCGCAGAAATGCCCGGACTCGACCCTGGGGTCGCCTGCCACCAGCTCTCCGTCAACCCGGCCGCTAGGGCCGTAGTGCAACGTAGGCGTAGGAAGTCCCCCGAAAAGTCGGCGGCGACTGAAAAAGCTGTAAAAGACCTCCTAGAGGCAAATTTCATTTCAGAAACCCGATATTCAACTTGGTTGTCCAACGTTGTACTAGTTAAGAAAAATAATGGAAAATGGAGGATGTGTGTTGACTACACAGATCTGAACCAGGCATGTTCTAAGGACGCCTATCCCCTCCCCAACATCGACAAGCTCGTCGACAACTCGGAAGGCTTCAAACTACTATCCTTCATGGACGTGTACTCGGGGTACAATCAAATACCCATGGCCGAGGCCGACAAACACAGCACGACGTTTATGACCGAGTCGGGCAACTATTACTACAACGT